GTAACTCTGTCTTGTAGGATTTAATCTGAGCTTGTTTCATCCAGATTTTTACAGTTTCCAGACATGTTCAGGACATCCATGGCATCTCCAACTCATCCTGGGGTGTATAATTGAGTGTGATCAGAGTACTGATGACAATTGACCCTGAACTGACAGATATTTCCCAGTGGTTTCATGTAGAAATTGAACACCATAGGGGAGAGCACTGAGACCTCAGACATCGCATTGGGATTCCCATGGTCTTGAGCACTTCCTCCATGATCACCCACCAGAACTGCAGTTCAGATAGGAGCAGAGCAATGGTAGAATGGTACCTCCAACTCCCAACCCTTGTAGGTAGTCCAGAGGGACACCATGTTCCATGTTATCAAATGCTGCTGAAGGATTAATAGGATCAAGGAAGCTCACTCCCCCAGTCTAGGGCCCACCAGGGTTTTAATCTAGGGTACTATGGTTGCCATTTCTGCCCCATGACCAGACCTGAATCTTGATTGGCAAGAACCCAGATAATCCATTTCTTCTAGGATCCTCTGTAGTTGATTTGCCATCACCACCTTAATAACCTTCCCTAAAAAAGGTTGGAGACCAGACAAAATTTATCAAACACAGCTAGGTTCAGAGATGGCATATTCAAGAGAAGATGCATTAGTGTATCTCTCAAGGCAGGCAGCATTGTTCCCTCTCAAAGAAGCATTGATTACCTCCTGGATCCCACTCACACCTTGCCAAGCTACCCAAAAAGACTCAGGAGGGGCATGTCTCAAGCCCATAGGCGGAATTAAAACTAGAGAACCCAATCAGACCAAGACCCATTTTAGTCCAGCATTTATTTGTTTCAGTAGCCAGTCAGATGCTTCTGACTGGAAATGGAGACATACACTTCTTCCACCATTATTCCCTAGAACTAATATATGGAGGTAATATCGGATCTTCAAGATGAATAGTTCCTGATAGACCTGTCTACCATGAATTTCTCCAATGCCTTTTTAAAGCCGTCCTAGCTACTATAGCATAATCTCATACCTTACTACATATTCTGTGGCAGAAATGGCTCTGTGTCTTTTTCTCATACTCTGTGTAGCTGGCTGGCAATAATAAGCCTTAGCCATAATCTTCCAATTCACACCATGGTGACTATCAACCAGAACTGTGTGAGCCCGCAGTGCAGGTATTCTAACAGCAGTTCTTACTCCACACTGCTTACAACTTTTAATTTGAATGTGTTCCTGGGTCAAAAATAGCCTTTGTGAGGAAAATCACAATTGTATTCTGGTTCTGAATGAACGTTCATATGTGGTTTCATCATAGAAGCATTACATCAGTGGGTAATGTCTTACGTAAATAGTGTTGTTCCCTTACTAAAATGATATGTAGAGGTGAGCCAGTAAGCCCCACCATCAATTTACCTTTGGCAGTCACCGCAGCATCCTGAGGACATACATTGCTGCTGCTTTAATTTTGCTGCAGAAGAAAGTGCACCACAGACAGTGCTTGGCGCAGCTTTCTGCACAATCACACTATCCAGAACTTGCCAAATCTCTGTGATATGGCTGTTAAGTGGCAATAGCTTGACAATATAGGAAATGATTTGCGTAAGAGAGAAAGGTGGTGTGTGTGTGTTCATCCTGTTCTGTAATTATCTTGTTACAGAGTGATAAGCTAGGGGCTACTAATAACTAACATTAGCCAAAGATTTGGGTGTAGTGAATATTGACATCATGTCTCTAAAATGGAACTATTCGTGTAGAAAAAAGTATCAACAGGTTCATAGAAAACCAAATTGTGCCCCACCCCCAAATACAGCCCAATGCTACCTGTCTCTTTAAGAAAGAAAAAATGGGAAACAAGGTACAGAGCATTTTGTGAAATTGTGAAATTGATAGAAAGATGAGATCAGTATCCATTTCTACACACACTTCAGGTCTGACTATTTTTGTATTGATATGCTAAGCTACCTTATGACGATGTGTTATAAATCAATGGCTTCTTGAAAGACCAGACTATTTCTTTTACTCCAACAAACATTGCTGCACGTGCTATATATGTTTAATTTCAGATAAAATATATTACTCTTGCATCTTCAATGGTTATACTTCGGTGTTATTTTAACAACAAGCTTCAGTTGAGAAATGATATATGTTGCATTAAACTATGGCTTTCACGGCTGTAGAACATAACACTTCAGTTGCCAATGTATGTAGCTTTTTCTCAGGGGAAAAAAACCATGAAATCTAAAAACATCATTTAGCACATATTTTGTTGACTATGTTGACATCCTTCAGGAATTTAGGCAGATTGATACTGAATACATCCAGAAATAACATTATGAGCTACGACAAAAGCATACCAGGCATTTTTAATTGATGAAATGTAGAGATCCTAACCCTTGCAACCCATATTACATCAAGTTAGTTGGTACCAGGTTCAATCAATTCTGGCACCAGACCCAAATAATTCTGCCCAGCACTTATATTTGCTGATAGTAAAAATTTACAACAAAATAACCAAACTTTCTCCAATCTGGCATTCTCAAATTGTGTTAGACCTCTACTTCTGGTCTTAACTCAGCGTTAACCCTTAGTTCAGCCCTAGAATTCTCATCTAGAGATCAACTCTGGATGAGAAAAAGTGAGCTAACATTTCGTTCCTTTTTTTTTTGTGACACTCAAAATCAGTTGCTATCAGTAATGGTCTCATTTTATCTTCTGATACAGTAATTTGTAATGTCCACTCCTGTAGACACAGACACTGCAATATGCATGCTCTTTCTATGTGGAGGCCATGTAAACAAAAATGTCCCAGCATGAAAATATGTCAAAACAAAAGTTTCATTGTAGAACTATTGAACTTCTGGGAAACTCAGACATTGAGGTCTTCAGTCTGTTCTATTACTATTATATTTTATCTTTTTTCATACCACATTAAGTGTTTCCAGATGGAAGGCTTCTAGGACTACCAGTCTAAAGTTCTTCTCACTTTTTTCATCTCATGTGTTCTATTTTCTGGCAATAAAAAATACGGCAGAAGCAATAGAAAGACAAGGGAGAGTTACAAATGGAAGAACTCAATGTCTGGATTCCTTGTACGAATTGTGTGTTTCAGATAGGATGGCTGCATGTTAAAAGCTTCATCAAGAAGAAGATACATTACAGAGGGAAAAGAGAGTATCTGCAAATTTTCTACAGCATAGAGTTAGAAACCATCTGTCTGGAAGAAGTAATGATGGGGAAAGAGTCCCTAAATAAATGTTGCCTGTAGGGAAAAATTGCCTTTTTAGTTGTTATTTATGTAAGCAGCATGCCACCTCTTCTTGCAATTCGAGGTAAGATTCCCAACTTGCTGAAAAAATTCTCTTTAAATTCCTACAAGACTCTTATTCTGATCATTTTATAAAATTAAAAGACCCAATAAAATACCAGTAATTGGTAATTTGATAAAATGATAGAGAACATTCTATATTCTGTATAGGAATTTTCTGAATGGTTAAATAGCAAGACTGACATGAGGTTAATACATTCAATGATCTGAGCCAGAAAAACAATCCAGCAGTACCCTATTCAAATTAAAGTTCCTCCCAAAGATCAGTTTCATAACCAGGTTAAGCTAAAGTTCATTAAGTGAGTCAGTCTGTCAACCTCACCCAGGTCTCTATCTGCATGTTCCAACAGCTGAGACAGTCCTGTCAGTAGCACCTGTAAAACTAAATATTCACTTCTGAGAAATTAATCCAAGTCTAGGCAATCTATAATGTTGATAATGGAAGTATTTTGTAGGTCTCTTTGAACTGTCACTATATAATAAGTTGGAAGATACATCTACTGTATATAACTTGCACTGTCAACAATATTGATTTTAAACATTTATGTGTTTGAATTAATTAGTTTTAGGTTTACCTGAACCTAAAAGTTCTTTGGCCTTGGTGTTTGACATTAGATTACCAGTAGAGTTTGCTCATTTTCTTGCCACATCTGAGTACAGGGTTACTGCTGCTGTAGTTCTAGGGCTAACAGCAAGCAAAAAACAGCATGAGAAACTACTTAAAATAAATGTTTCTGAGCATTGTAGTTTGTACACGTATAGCTACTACGTATTTTGGGACACTGTGTTTTAATTCTATGCCTAAGCCAACGGGAAAAACAAATTGAGTATGAATTAAGTTTAGCACGTGTCATATTGCAGGC